AAAAAACCCGGATTTTTTGCCTAAAAAAAAAAAAAAAAAAAAAAATCAGAGTATTTATTTTCTAATCCCAGCATGAGAGCTTTTTGGTTGGGTCCCATGAGCAGTGCGGTGGGCACTCGCCCCCCACTTCACAATGGGCACAGTGCCCTCTCCCAGCGCGTGATGCTGAGCCCCGGCAGGTCCCTACAGCACAGGCTGTGATGGGGCCCCGGGACTGTGCCCCCTGAGCTGCGGACGCCACACCAGCATCTCATGGGCAGGGGACACAGCGATGCCAGCCTGGGAGTCACAGGCCCTGCACCAACAACCTGCCACGAGGGGAAACTGAGGCACAATGGCTTTAAACACACCGGCACTGGGCAGGCCTGTGCCCTGCCAGGCACCATAAGCGGCACGATAGCCAGCGGCACAGTGCCCAGGGGCGCAGTACGTGGAGACACGGTATCGAGCAGCGCTGTACCCAGAGGCACAGCACCTGGAGGCGTGACATCCAAGGAAGCACGACACCCAAAAGTACAGCACCCAAAGGCATGACGCCTGAGGAGACCCAGTACCCAGAGGCGCAATATCGAGGAGGCACGATCTCTGGAGGCATGACACCCCAGGAGGACCAATACCCGAAGGTGCAATAAGCAGAGGCAAAACATCCGAGAAGCCACGATACTCAGCCTCAGGATGCACAAGGGTGCACGATACTCAAGGAAGCACAGCGCCCAGCGGCACGGTGTCCCAAGGCATGACATCCCAGGAGGGAAAACACCCAAAGAGGCACAGCACCCCATGACGCGACATCCAAGGACGCATGACACCCAGAAGCACAGTACCCAGAGACATGACAACCAAGGAGGCATGACAGCCAAACGCCTGACAGCCGAGGAGATGCGATGCCCAGAGGGACAATACCCACGGAGACACGGTACGATACCCACGGTGCGATAACCGGGGATGCGACACCGAGGAGGTGCAATGCTAGAGGAAGCACAACACCAGAGGAGATGCAACGCCCAGAGGGGTGACACCCAGACAGGAAGGTGACCAACCCCTGCGGTTCCAGCACTACAGGGGGTCCTCAGGGCCGCCCAGAGGCAGGGCCACCCTGGCGCTGTGGCTGGCAGTGGGCTCTGGGGTGAGCAGAGGACCTCCCTTCCCGCAGCCCGGCTGCCCGGCCAGCACCCCCCAACACCAGGACTGGGACCCCCATGCTGGGTGATGGGGATGCTGGGACCGAGCCCTGGGCTCTGCCAGGGCTGGCTGGGCTGCACGGGGGGCTCCCCCCTCCCCATCCGTGTGCCCAACACTGGGAATTTGTTTGCTGCAAACGGGAGGCCGCCGCGGTGCTGCTGGGGCTGCCGGAGGACAAGAGCCCTTTCATGCCAGCCATGCCACCCTGGGGCACAGAACAGAGCCGTCGGCACAGCACAGAGCCAGAGAGGGACACGGCCCCAGGGCCCCCCACCCGCTGGGCAGAACTTCCCACCCCAATGTACCTTCAAGCCCTGGCACGAGGGGTGCCTTGTGGCCCTGAGTCAGAGCACCCGCTGACTCAGAGCATCTCCGTGGCATCACACCAGGGCCACCGAGCCTGCTTGCTGGCACTCCGGGGTGCCGCCGGGAGAGGGGAGACCAGCGGGGTGGGTGCCAGGGCCGCAGCACATGGTGAGAGCATCCCTAAAGCACCCGGCACCGCTCAGCGCGCCGACGGCAGCTCACCTTCCCCCGCTGCTGGATCACCTCCCACGGATGGGCAGACGGACGGAGCGACGGACGCAGGGATGGACAGGGGGATGGACGGCAGCCCCCAGCCCTGTGCTCAGCCACAGCCACCCCGGGGGGCAGCACGCGGC